GCCCCACTGCTGCGAGGGACCCCCATTTCTTCTCTGGGCCCCACGCACTGGCTTGGGAGCGTTCTTGGCCCCCAGACACTGGTCTGGGAGTGGGGCAGGACCAGCCGGGATCAAGGCCAAGCTGCAGTCCATGTGCTCCCAGGGGACCTGCGGTGCTGCCTCTTCTGCCACCACTTGGCAGGAGGATGTGGGGTGCAGGGCTCTGCTGGCAGTGCTGCCAGGTACCTCCCAGGACCCCTGGCCCCAGAGTTGAGGGCAGCCAGTGGGGTCAGCCCTGGCACTGGCATCCCTGGAAGCAAAAGCGCAGCTAGGATTGCCCAGGAGCTGTCAGAGCTCCTTAAGAGAGGATTGAGTGCAACCAGTGCTGACCCCTCCTGATGGATCAGGGCAATTGCCCTCGGCATGATGCAGAGCCAGGGTCTGGCCTCCCCCACAGGGCAGAGACCCCAGGCTCTATGGGCCCCATGGGTCTATGCTGGCCAGGTCCTCACTTGAGGGAGAGGATGCCAAGGGGCTGCTGGGGACAGGGCTGTGACCTGGGGCTACAGGCCCAAGTAGCCCATGAGGGTGCCAAGGGGTGGGCTCTGCCCCATCTGCCCCATTCCTCTCATTGACTCACCTGTGGCCCCTACGGTGCAAAAGTGTATCCCCCTTCCTCAGGTGTGCAGCAGGAGGTGTGGGGGGCAGAGCTTGTGAAGAACCCACAGTACACAGCTCCTGTGCCCACGGGGGCTCACAGGGACCAGGCTCTGGCACTCCTAGATTCCCTGGGCCCCTTTTTTCCCTAGGGAACTGAACTCCCTGACTATCTCCCCATTGCTTTGGGGCATCCTGTCCAACCCACACCGTTCTGTGATTCCAAGATTCTATGATTCAACTTCGGTGGGACTGTGCAGCTCTGCCAGGGTGGCACAGTGCACCCCACCAAGGGAGGGGACCATGTGCCCTGCCTTCGGCATGAGGGAGATCGTGTCCCATATCGTGGCGGACTCTCTGTGCCCTGCCTGGGGGCACCATGTGCTCTGCCGGTGGGAACTGTGCGTTACTGCCTTGGAGTAAAACCGCGAACCCTGCCGTGCTGGGGGGAAAGAAATAAAAACGCGTCCTGCCCAGAAACCACTTGCACATCCCCAGGTGTGCCGACCTGTCCCCTGCCACGGGGACCC